AAGTATTAACTTTCTTTGGGGTTACCTTATAGTCTATTAACTTTTCTTTCAATTTAAAAGAATCTATTGTATCCTGTAATCTACCTGACGTCTTCACTACCTGGATCTCTATTCCTACATTTATCCCTTCTTTGACATTGATATTATTTTGATCTTTGGTTGACCTACCAGCTCCTTTGAATTCGTTGTTGTAGTTTTGTTCTGTTCTGGACTCTGCTATTGAGTTTCAGGTGGTGTTGCCACACCTGTCAATCTCTGGTTGTTGTCTGTTTTTGTTGGTTTTCAGTCCAAAGAACTCCCTTTAGGATGTTTTGAAGTGCTGGATTGGTTTTGATAAAATCTCTTGGATTCTGTTTAATCCTGAAATGTTTTGATTGTACCATCATATTTGATTGATAGTTTTGCTGGGTAGACAATTCTTGGTTGGTAGTTTTTTTTCTTTTAGGGTTTTGTATATGTCTCCCTATTGCCTTCTTGCCTGCATGGTTTGTGCTGAATAGTCAGAGCTTAATCTGATTTGCTTGCCTTTGTAAATGACACTTGTCTTCTCCCTGGTAGCTTTTAAGATTCTCTCCTTGTCTCTGGTTTTGGAGAGCTTGATTATTATATGTCTTGGTGATTTTCTTTTGCGGTCTATCCTTCTTGGGGTATGTTCAGCTTCTTGAATGTTTGTCTTCTCATCTTTCAAGATGTTAGGGAAATTTTCTTCCAGAAACACTTCAACTATCTCCTGTGGACTTCTTTGATTCTTCCTGTTCTGGAATGCCAATAATTCTTAAGTTGTTCCTCTTCATATTATCCAGCATGAATTGTAGACTCTCTTCAGATTTTTTTTTTCTTCTTTCAGCTTGCTCTTCTGTCTTAGCAGTATTGAGAGATTTGTCTTCCAGCTCGGTAGTTCTGGCTTCCATCTCTTCTATTCTACTCCTTTCCCCTTTCAGTGTATTGTCCTATTCTGATATTTTATTATTAATCATCTGGACTTCTTTTTGCAGGTTTTGAATTGTTTCCAATGCTGTATCGATCTTGTTTGATTGCTCTTGTAGTGCTTTCTTGACTTCCTCCTTGTTTTCCTCCACCCCTTTACAGAGCATTTGAATTTGTTTCCATATCATTCTTCTGAGTTATTTCTCAGGCAAATCCAAAACCTGATCTTTTCTTCTGTGGAGCCAGAATGTCTGTCTCCAGCGCATTTGTCTCAGTTACTCTTTTCTGTTTTGGGACATGTTTTGAGATCATTTGTTGTGTATGAGATCTTTTGTTTGCCATTTCTAGTAGTTATGTGGGTTTTTTAATGCTTAAATGGATGTTTGTTGTTGTGTTGTTAAGCTTACTGGGTGTCTCCTGGTGGATATAATCAGGAGATAGGCTTTCCTTTTCGCATGTAATGCTTAGCAGCTATTGTTGGTTCTTGTCTCAATGGTGGAATATTATGGGTTATGCTTGTAGTTTGGCTATATTGCCACAATTGCTGTCTCTTCTTGGGTAACGTAGGGAGAAAAAGCTCCAAGAAAAATTTGTGATCAAAAGGACCAAAAGCTGAAGCAATATAAAAGCAGAGACAAAAACCACCACTTTGAAACAAAAATAAAACTGTGGCCCACTGGCCAGTCACCTTGCTACACAGACATTGTGTGTGCACTGTAGAAGCCTCCAGCAGTGGGTGGGGGTGTCCATTCACTCAGGCCCCTCCTCTAGTTACCACTGCGGAGGTGCACAGATAGATATTGAGAAGTTAATGGAATAAAGATTGTCCACTATTTTTGTCTCTGAAGGTCAGTTAGGTATCTGCATGTGCACAGTATAATTCTCGAGATAGTTGTGTCCTTTTATTTTGGGATTTTACAGATTGTTGTATGGTTTGTCTGTCAGGCCTGATGGGTCTGCTTTTTTCTTGCTAGATAGTAAAGGGTCCTGCATAAGTTAATTTTAGGGTTGCGACCTGAGGCTGATGTCCTGGACCTTATGGCGAGATACTGACGTCCTGGATCTTATGGCAGATCTAGAGCTCTGGTGGTGTTCTGTGAGCGCAGCTTCTGTGGGTTTTCAATCCCTCTCCAGTGGAACCTTTCCTATCTGGCTGTCTCTGCTGCTGCCCAAACTGGAAGTGCTTCCATCTTCTTTTGATGCTTTCATCATTCTTCAATATTTTGTCCATAGACTTCTTCAATACTTCAAGTCAATGCTTGGATTTTTTTCAGTTCCCTGAGCTTGAGAAATGCTGAATGTGTTCTTCCCTTCAACTCTTGTTCAACAAAAGTTGAACAGAAAATTTCAAAGGTCAGCTTGAAAAGACAAAGTCACATATTATAATGAAATGTGCAAAGACCTGGAGTTAGAATAACTCTTGTACCTCCTCACTTCTTCCATTTACTTAAGCATCTCAACGCTGTAGACTCTAGGCAGACAGAATTAGGAGGCATGTGTGTGTCTAATGCACTCATTTATACGTATATCTATTTATATTTACGTATTTATTAAAAATCATGAGTTCATACTGATACTTCTCAGAGAGGTTTTAATTTACCCAAGATCATGCTATACTTAAGAAATGTCTGAGATTATTTGAAAATCCAGGGTTTACTCTATAGTACTATACCAAACTTGCCTCATGATGGTCTGTTGAAATGGTCTGTGAAGACAAACAGACTTACCTGTCATTACTGACTTTCTTTCTTTCTGACTGGATGATGTTGTTTAGAAACTTTATCTCTAAGCTTTGGTTAAGACCTCCCTCAATAGAATATTGTAAAGATTAGATGTCATAATACATTAAAACACCTGTAAAATGGAAGATGCTAAAAAATTACTGAAAAAGGAAAGAAAAAGAGCAAATACCAAAAATGCCATCAAGTCGATTCTGACTCACAGTGACCTGGTCGACAGAGGTCGAACTGCCCTATAAGGTTTCTAAGACTGATTTTTTTTGGGAACAGATTTCTGCATCTTGCATACATGGCACAGCTGGTGAGTTTTAACTGCAGTCCTTTGGTTAGTAGCTGATAATTGATCACTTTGCTGCCAAATCTACTTCGGTAAATATTAGTTCTTTTTCTCAGTTCCTATCCTGCACATGGAGTCCTAGTGTGGTGTTGTGGGCTAATGTGTCAGACTGCAAAGCCGTTTGAACTGCAAGGTTGGTGGTTCAAGCTCACCAGCTGGCTCCTTGGAAACCCTATACAGGGTCGCTATGGGTCAGCACTTAACAACAACAACAATCCTGCATATATCTTTCTATAATTCTTATGTTTTACGTTAGTTTTTCTTTATTTCCTATTGTTTTTTTTCTTCTCCGAAATTTCTTTATATAAACAGTATGTCTGATGCTGGTTTTATAGTTAACATGGTGGTTAACACATTGATCCTCAATAAATACTTAATTGATGGATAACTGAGTTAACTGGCAATGCTTAGGTCGTTTTTCTAGTTCTTGGATGCACTGTTACTACTTAAAGAATGCTTTTTTTCCCAAGAGATTTCCTTTATTATGTTTATTTGTCTTTTTGCATATACATGCCTAATTGTTAGCTGACATTCTGCTTAATACATTGCTGACATTTCTCTACCACAGTTAAAGAATAAGAGAAGTGTCAAGGTATGTAGGAGTCCCACAGTCTGTGTATTTTCTTTAGCAATCTGCTCATCGTGCTGCCACACGAGGCTTCATTCGGTATGGCTGGCGCTGGAGCTGGAGAACTGCAATGTTTGTGACTATATTCAAGTAAGTTATCTTGAACCTTGTGAGAAGAACCTGGTCTTTTAGGAAGGAGCCCATCTTTTTAGCAAGTGGATTGTAATAACTGAACATCTATATTAAAGGGATCCAGAGTGCCTTTTTCTCAAGAACTTTTTGTCTGTGTAGGTAAAAGGCTGGTCAATTGTAGTGTAGTTTCCATGTTGGAAATCTAACAATTAGTCATTATTTTGATAGACGATTTCTAAGTAAGAAACATTGTTCAAAACTCGTCTTTGCATTTCTAAGTGAATATTTAGTCCAGAAATTGGATTATTCTTTGGCTTGTTCTTGAGCAGGAGAAAGTCCACCAAGAAAACTTATAGACATATTACCAATCTAAAACACATTAAAGGGCCTTAGACTAAGACTAACGATTGACCTACTAGGCTCTTCTAAATTAATACTTATCACTTCAGTAAAAATAGCAGCCAAGAAAGTAAATAGGATTTGTTTTAAGCCTTACAGTTTCTTCCTTCTCTTTTCTTCCCTAGCACAGTGAACACTGGTCTAAATGTGTACCGAAATAAAAATGCCCTAAGCCATTTTGTCATTGCAGGAGGTAAGACTTTTTTGTCCTTATTTACATTTTTAATTTTTCATATAGGGTTTAGAAAATACGAACTTATAAATCAGAGCTACTACTTCTTACTTCTTAGATTGGAGTCCCGGTGTGGTGCTCAGGGATAATGCACCAGACTGCAAAGTCGTTTGAACTGCAAGATTGGTGGTTCAAACTCACTAGCTGCTCCTTGGAAACCCTATACAGACTTGTTATGGGTGGGAATCGACTCGAGGGCACTTAACAACAAACTTCTTGGATTGGTTTCCCATCACCTTGCCTTTAATATTCACGCAAAACAGAGACCATTGTTTTTGGCCTTGGGTATTCATGGTGAATAAAATATACATGATCCCTGCCTTCATTGAATTTTATGGCCAGTGTGAAAGGGGAAAATAGATTGCTGTGATAGATGGGAAGTGGCATCTAATGTAGACAACGTGGTCAGAAAATGCCTTTCTTAAGAAGTGAGCTTTAAGCTCAGACCTGATGGATAGAAAAGAACAAATCTTGCAAAGAAAGAGTTGCCAAGACAGAGGGAACATCAGGGGTAAAGACTTTAAGCTAAGAAAGTTCTTCAAAAGCGGAGGGGAAGAATGACGAGATGAGACTCATGAGATGAGGCCAGAAGGGGCCAGGTATTTTGTTGTTATTTTAAGAGTTTGGATTTTATTTTGAAATTATCTGCTTTAAAATAAAATAGTTATATGGAATAAATGAGGAAGTTAAAAGAACTGAACAAAAAATTTCAAAGTGTACCTAGAGAAGACACAGTAAATTAATATAATGAAATGTGCAAAGACCTGGAGTTAGAAAGTCAAAATGAAGAACATGCTCAGCATTTCTCAAGCTGAAAGAACCAAAGAAAAAATTGAAGCCTTGACTTAAAATATTGAAGGATTCTATGGGCAAAATTCTGGTGTGGCACTGTAGAATAAGCACTGGATTACAAGGTCAACTTGAAACCACAGAGCTGGTCATTTAGACCCACCAGCTGCTCCTTGGAAACCCTATAACAGGGTTGCTATGAGTCGGAATCGACTCAATGGCACTTAACAACAACAAAATGGGCAAAATATTGAATGAACGCAAAGCATCAAAAGAAGATGGAAAGAATATACAGAGTCACTCTACCCAAAGGAAATGCTTGATGTTCAACTATTTCAAGAGTTCAACTATTTCAAGTATGAGTAAGAGCCAGTGGTCCTGAAGGAAGAAATCCAAGCTGTGCTGTATGGCATTGACAAAGAGCAAGGCTCTGGAAATTATTGGACTACAAATTGAAATATTTCTATAAACTGATATAGCACTGGAGGCACTCACTCATCTATGTCAAGAAAATTGGAAGACAGCTTCCTGGCCAAGTGATTAGAACAGATCTTTGTTTGTGCCCATTCCAAAGAAAGGTGACCTAACAGAATGTAGTAATCATTGACAATATCATTAGTATCACATGCAAGTAAAATGTTGCTAAAGATAATTTAAAAAATGCCTGCAACAGTACATTGACAGGGAACTGCCAGAGGTTTAAGCCTGATTCACAAGAGAATGTGGAACAAGAAATATCATTACTGACGTTTGATGGCTCTTGGCTGAAAGCAAAGAATATCAAAGATGTTTATCTGTGCTTTACTGACTGTGCAAAGGCTTTTGGTTGTGCACATCATGCCAAACATGGACAACATTGTGACAAGTATTTTCAGAACACTTAATTTGTGCGCATGAGGAAACTGCACATAGACCAAGAGGCAATCATAGAACAGGGGGATACTGAGTGGTTAAAATCTGGAGAAGTATGCATCAGGATTATATTCTTTCACCATACTTACTCAATCTACATGCAGAGCAAATAATCCAAGAAGCTGCATTATATGAATACGAATGTGACATCAGGATTTGAGGAAGACTCATTAACAACCTGTGATATGCGGATGATATAATCTTGCTTGCTGAAAGTGAAGAGGATTTAAAATACTTACTGATGAAGCTCAAAGAGCACGGACTTTGGTAATGGGTGCACCTCAATGTAGAGAAAACAAAAATCCTCACCACTGGACCAATAAATTGCATCATAATAAGTGGAGAAGAAATGGAAGTTGTCAAGTACTTCATTTTGCTTGGATCCATGCTCAACACTCGAAGGTAGCAGTCAAGAATTCTAATGACATACTGCATTACACAAATCTGCCGCACAAAACCTCTTTAAAGTGTTCAAGAACAAACATGTCAGTTTGAAGACTAAGGTACACCTGATCCAAGGCCATGTCATTTTCAATAGCCTCATATGCATTTGAAAGTTGGATAATGAATAAGTAAGACCATAGAATTGATGTATTTGACTTATGGTGTTAGAGAAGAATATTAAAGGTACCATGCATTGCCATAACAAACAAATCTGTGTTGTAGGAAGTACAGCTAGGATGCTCCTTGGAAGCCAGGATGGCCACGCTTTGTGTCTCATACTTTGGACATGTTATTAGGAGGGACCAGTCCCTAGAGAAGGACAGCATGCTTGGTAAAGGGGAGAGTCAGTGAAAAAGAGGAAAACTCTGAGATGGATTGGGACAGTGGCATCATCAATGGATACAAGCATAGCAATGATTGTGAGGATAGTTCAGAACTGAGCACCAGTTCATTCTGTTGTGCATATGACCACTATGAGTTGGAAGCAGCTCCACAGCACATAACAATAAGAACAATAGTTGTTAACATTTGACCACATTTGCTTAATCACTTGTGCTCTCTTGTTTTTAGGTATATTCTTTGTTTCTCTATGCATATGAATATTCACAGAGGCAAACACACATATGTATACATATTTCAAACTTAACATTTAAATAAAAACATAAAAAAATTATAAACTACAAATAGGTATGAACAGTATTTTGTGGGGGGATTCCAAAATCAGTTACTGTTGAGCTGATCCCCTAGTACGGCAAGCTGACAGATGAGTGACAAATATGGAGTCTGTAGATAATGAGTTTCTTCTGTAAGTGACTATGTAGCTGATCTTTGGATGGAAAGATATATAAGTAGATACATATTTTTAAGTTTAAAAATAAATCATATAGGCAGTGATGAAACACATTTGACTCGACAATACTTTTTAAACTTTTGTGTTATGCCATGTTAGTTGTCATAGAGTTGACTACAACTCCATTAAATTATAAGTAACAAATAATTTACACATCAGAAAGATAAGAGACCTTGTTTGCACACTGAACAAAGAACATGAATTTGTAATTTGCAGAAATAACAAAGCTAACCTTTAAACCTGAAAAACCTATATTTCCCTACTACCCAGAGAAATGTAAGTTACAACTAGATATCATTTTTGGCTTGTCTAATTGAGAGAACTAAAATGAGAAGATACAGAAAAATAGGAACTTGCATACTTTTAATGGGAAAAGAAATTTATCCAGCCTTTTTGGATAGCAGTTTGGTAATTTAAGTTAAAATCCTTAAAATGTTTATATTCTTTGACCTAGAAATTCCATTTTTATGAGTTCATCCTAAAGAGAAAAATTTCTAAAACAATTTATGTACAGGGATTATCATCACATGTGATTATTATTTAAAACTACCACAAATAGCAAATCTAAGCATTAGTAACAAATTGTATTATATCTGTATACTGGAATTAGGGGAGCTATTTATTTAATGATAGAGAATTTAACAATGTGCTCAGTGAAATACAAGTTTAGAATGTACAGCATGGCTCTGATTTGATTTTAAACAGTGTGTTTGGAAAGAAGCCCTGATGGCACAATGGGATAAATGTAACTAAAAGGTCTGAGGTATAAGCCTACAGCAAACGCCTCCTCAGGAGAAAGATAAGGTTGTCAGCTCCTATAAAGATTTACAGCCCTAAAGACCCTAGGGAGAAGTTCTTCCTTGTCCTGCAGTGTCACTTGAGTTGTAATCAATTGCATGGTTTGGTTTGGTTTGATGTTTGGAAAAAAAGACTAAAGGTAAGTACTCCAAATTTATTACTGTCTCTAAGTAATAGGATTAAAGAAGATATTTATTCTTGTGGTTTTAGAAAATTTTATTAAAAGTACCATATAGAGAGAACAAACAAGATGGTGGATAGGGTAGAAGTACAGTGAGGAGCTCCATCAGCAACAGCACAGACTACTGGACCAAGCAGGCTCAGGGGATGGTCCCAGAACACTGAACCACATATAAAGGAATACTTAGAAAGTTGGAAGGCTTACAGCCAGTGGAATTTGTAACAGAAGCAAGAAATCCAGTGCTTTCTAATCCAAGGTGCTCAGCTGCATCCAGAGCTGCCATCTTGGGCAAGACTGAGTTGGGGAAGGATCAGAGCAGCCAC